TCCAGAGGGTGGGGGCACCCACAGAGAAGGCCCTTCCCCTGGGGGTCGCCAGCCGACATTGTTTGGCCGACGGCACCCTGAGGAGACCCACTCTGTGGGAGCGTACCGGTCTATGGGAGGAAATCTGTGGCAGAAGGCGGTCTCGGAGGTAACCAGGTCCGATGCCATGGAGCGTTTTAAAGGTGGTAACTAACACCTTTTGTTAGCAGTGCCCATTGGAAAGCATTTTTGCTAACCATTGTTAGATGACTATTACTCTAGTACAGTGGTGGCGAACCTGTGGCACGCGTGCCAGAGGCGGCACTCAGAGCCCTCTCTGTGGGCACGTGCGCCATGCCCCGGAGATGGCAACCGAGCCATCCGCTAAATCGCCGAGGTCCCACGTGGCCGGATGCATCCCAGCACATCTGGTTTCCCTCCCCCCGTCCTGTCCCCCCTGGCCTCGCATGCTCTCCTTTTCCTGGGCACAACCCACTGCATCGCCTCCTCAACTGTCGGCCGGCCGTCCAGCTCGGAGGCGGCTTCTCTGAACTGCTGGTGGCGGGCAGCGGAGCCCCAGAATGCACCAGTTGAGGGGCCGGCAAGCTGTGGCTGCTGACGGACACTGTCGGCCCCATGTGCTCGCTGGCCTCTGTGTGCGGGGGCCGATGGTGTCAGGCAGCAGCCACCCCGGCCCCTGTCTCGCCTTGCCCTGAGACAATGGCACCCCCGCCCTGCCTCGCCTTGCCTCTCCTCACCCCACAGGACGAGCCTCCTGCCCACCGCCCCACCTGCCAGAGACCCCCTGAATCTACCCCAACCTTGCCCGTCACCCACAGGCGTCCCTCCCCACGAGCAACATCGAGGTGACCACGCCCACCTTGGCCACACCCACCCAGTCTGCCATGACCACTATAGCCACACCCACCCAGTGGGCCACGTCCACCTGGCACCCGGCGATAAATAAGTGGGTTTTGAGTTGCAGTTTGGGCACTCGGTCTCTAAAAGGTTCGCCATCACTGCCCTAGTACTTTTGTTAGCAGTACCCATTGGAAAGAATTTTTACTAGCAATTTTTAGATCCACATGCCAAAACATACTGACCAAATCAAATTTCTGTCCACTGTATACCAAGGTGAATTAATAATAATAATAATATTATGAATTGTCTACATGCCAGAAGTCTAGTAACTCTCTCTTGACTCTGTTGGGGGACATGTTCCAAGCCAGGTTTTCTTTCTTTGGCTTCTCTTTAATTTTCGATCTCATGTTATTTGTTAAATAAATGCCTGCCTGCTCTCTCCTTACACTTCAGATGGGAGGAAATCCCATCTCATAAATTGGAGACCTGGCGCAACTACTCTTCGCCCCACAGCTCACGGCTGGGAGTGAAAAAAGCAAAGCAAAAAAAAAGACTTTAGCAGCAAATCATCTCAAAAGTACAGGTAGCCCTCGACTTACGAGCCCAACATTTCGGTTGTTAAGTGAGACACTTGCTAAGTGAATTTTGCCCCATTTCACAGCAGTTCATTTAGGGACCGTTCAAAGTTACAGCGGCATTAAAAAAAAGCGGCTGAGCACCATTTTTCACACGTAGGACCGTTGCAGCATCCCCGTGGTCACATGATCAACATTCAGACACTTGCAACGGACTCATATTTATGACGGTCACAGTGTCTAGGGGTCACGCGATCCCTTTTTGCGACCTTCTGACAAGCGAAGGATCAAACTCTCGGTCGGGTTACTAAGAGACATCCTGTTTCCCCCCCCCAGGGAAGCCCGCTGTGGAAACGGCAGCATCATGCACACACCGAGGCGCGTCGTATGTGATGTTGCGCCCACTTACCATCGCTGCTCCCTCTCAGCACCACGTCTGGAGACGGTGTCTGCTGTGAGCGGGATCCGAAGGAATCCAGGCTGTCGAAGGAGTCATCCCGGCCGTGACGCGGGGGAGAAAGGGAATCGCTGCGCTCAGAGTCCCAGCAATCGATGTAGCCACTGTCACGGATGCTGCGCTTCGGGCTCTCCACGTCTTCTGTGTCCTGCTGAGGAACAGAAGCCTTGTTAGAAAAGCCCATCCTCTAAACCAGGGGTCCCCAACCCCCGGTCCATGGACCAGTACCGGGCCGCGGCATGCCAGCAACCGGGCCGCACAAACAAGCAAAGCCCCATCCGCGGGATGCAGGTAGCACACGAAACCATGCCCCCTCCGGTCCGCGGAAAAACCTCTCTCCACGGAACCGGTCCCTGGTACCCAAAAGGTTGGGGACCGCTCCTCTAAATCAAGGGTCCCCAAGCCTTGTCCATGGACCGGTACCGGGCCGCGGCATGCCAGCAACCGGGCCGCGCAGACAAGCAAAGCCCCATCCGCGGGATGCAGGAACCACATAAAACCACGCCCCCTCCGGTCCACGGAAAAACCTCTCTCCACGGAAGTGGTCCCTGGTGCCCAAAAGAAACGGGGCCAAACTCACTTAACGACTGTCTGGCTTAGTGGTTGTAAATTGAGGACCACCTATAACCTGGCTCCACCCGCAGCGTGGCTGAAAGTACAACATAAGTACGGGCAGTCCTTGGCTTATGACTATAATTCAGCCCACCATTTCTGTTTGCTAAGCCAGACGTTTGTTAAATGAGTTTTGCCCCATTTTACGGCCTCTCTCGCCACGGTTGTTAAGTGAATCTCTTGTTGTTTAAGTTAGTAAATGGTTGTTAAGTGAACCTGGCTCCCCCCACTGACTTTGCTTGTCGGAAGGTCGCAAAACTGGATCACGTGATCCTCCGGGGATGCTGCAACCGTCCTAAGTACATGTCAGTTGCCGAGCCTCTGAATTGTGATCACGTGACCCTGGGGGCGCTGCGATGGTCGTAAGTGTGAAAAACGGTCCTAGGTCACTTATTTTTAGTGCCGTTGCAACTTCAAACGGTCACTAACTGAACTGTTGCAAGTCAAGGACAATGTGTATAGTTGGTTCTTCTTCCCGATGTTCATCCGTGTTTATTGGATGCTACGGTGACCTTTTTTTTCTTCTTCTTCTTCCTTACAACCACTTTTCTGCTCCCAAGTGGGTGTGGTAGCTTTCTGAAACACTACGACAACTTGTTCAACCAGAAGCCACCAGGAAATAAAAGATCGTTGCGCAGACCCTGTGGGAAAACTGTAATTTGACTTTCCGTTCTTTTTTCAAAAGCCTGTTTGTTTCTACCGTTACGGCCGGCACAAAAGATCTGGGACGATAGTCGGTAACATAATCCAGAGCAAGGATTATTTTTTTATTTTGTATTTTTGGACATTACTTTTTTTTTAAATATTTGGACGACACAGTTCAAACCGCCCCCCCAGTCGTTTGGGCTTCACCGTCTCAATTAAAAGAAGCCCTTTCCAAACTCGCTTCAAGTCTGCTGTGAAAAGCAAAAACAATATGCACAGTAACACACACACACCCCATACGCCAAGCAGAAAGAAAAGCTTAATTTATGCCGATAGCTTTACAAACAAACAAACAAAAAAAGAATTTAATGAAGGGGTTCCACAACATCTGGTGAAAATAAAATAATAATTCTGTTTCATCTTCCACCACTACTACAATTCCGCTAGGGATCTTCCCGACACTTTCACAAAGCTTAAAAAAAACCCGCATCAATCCCAGCAACAACCGTTGCAAAATAATTGTGCTAATGCACATTTCCTAATACGTCGAGGAGGTCATAAAATAAATAAAATAACCTGAAACATGG